AAGATCGTCTTGAAACGACTTTTAACACAGAACGCATTTTATAGTATAGATGATTTTTTTTTGCATGCAGAAAGGTTTTTATCTGATGCTGTAAATTGAAAAATAATTTCTTTTTTATTTGTATTTCTTTTCTCATTTCTTTATATTGTCCTTTTTTTTATTTGTTTTCTATATTTTGACATTGTTCTACGCCTTTGAGGCATTATGTATTGTAGTAATTGAGAGCAAATAAAGTATTATTTTTATTATTATTAATATAGTAACATACAATCAATGTCCTATAGCATTAATTATTTTTAATTTATAATTTTCTACTTAAATTTGTTCTTACTAAAAGAAGTAATTAATTAATATACCTTTTTTCTTCTTTGTAATTTAATTCTACCTTTAAAAAATATTTCTATAAAAAAACTACTCCTATTCAAAGTACTTTCCGTTATATCTCCATTTTTATAGTTTTAGTTTTTTTATAACTATTATATTCTATTAATAATACTTTTATGTATAAAAAGAGCCAAGTAAACACGTACCGAAATCAAGTCTTCTTCGTTTTGACTTAACTCACTATTTTCTTTTCTCGGCGAGCAATCTCGCAGAAATTATACCAGAGGCTATTTTCATGTTATTTAAATAACAACTCCCTTCTGTTTAGCAAGGTTGCCCTCGCAACACATTTTCTCGGGTTGAGATAAGAAAATGAGAAATTCGCGTTTCTTATTTCGTCAGATTAATGACTGTGCACTAGTAGTGTTTTTTATAGTAAATATATTTATTTTAATTTGAAATAAAGGTTTCTAGTAACATTCTATTAATATCGAAAATAAATATATTTTTTATTCCTTCTTAATAATTAAGTCTACTATGGAAATATCTTTATACTGTTGTTATACATGGTGTCCTAGAAATAAGTGCAAGTATTTTAACTGGTAGTATAGTTCAACCCCAGAAACAAGCCTATCAGGTTTTTTTTGTAAAAAAAAAATTTGAATTTTTTTTTTAGTTTTTAATTAAAAACCATAATTTCTTAATAATATAGCAACATAGGTATTAGATTAAATTTACAAGAAAGAAAATCCCGAAAAGATCCAGTGGTTCTCAAAATTTTAGAAAAATATCATTTTTTTTGGAAATTTTCAAAATAAAATAACTCCGTTATTTTGGACTTATTTGAAAAACGGTAAAGAGAAAATGTTTCTTTTATTATTCTTTTTTATCTATGTTTCTTTTATCGAGATCTAGAACCTCTTAAAATAATTATACAGATATTAATAGTGGTAATATTATTTAATTATGTTTGATGCGCCCCTCATATGACGCGGCGATTCCAAGTAAACAGTAGTTTGTATTAAAATGAAATTTAGGTTAATTGAAAGCATTTTATTAAAATATATAGAGTTTTACAGGTTGTTAACAAAAAACGTGCCGCATTAAAGTTGTTTTTTTTTGTAAGAGAACTGCTATACCGGGTGCTTCTCAAAGGTAGCTCACCTCTATAAAATTTTAATTTTTTCAGATAAAATAACATACCAAATCTAGTATATTAGTACATGACATAAATTAGAATTGATTGACGTATTCAATCGTTTTTGGTCATTTCCTGTTTCACCGGAAATGACTACAACTTTTGATTTTGAAATGACACGCTTGGTATTCTTTTACTTCATTTGATATAAAATGACATTCTGTATATGATATATACATCATAGCATATATCAACTTTTTACATTTTCTATTAAAAAAATATAATTTTAAATTTTAATTTAGAGTGCCATGGTCATAAATGTAACGACAATTAATAAAAAAATGCTTTTTCCAAATAAGCTAATGAGCCACCGTCATTCCATTTGAGAAAATTGAGATATAATCCTTGATTAAAAATTAGTGTTTTTAACACAGCCACGGAACTCTACCGTATGTCCCCAGATTAACTTTAGAAGAGAAAAAACTTTTTACGCCCCTTTACGGAATACAAAATTATAAATTATTTCACATAATACGTCAAACGCACAACGGAAAGTAGAACAAAAACCTATTACTATTTAATTGAAATCCAATGTCTATACACTATATTACTGTTTATCCCGTTCGCGATAGTGGAAAAAGCGAACGGCCCAACCTAAAACGCTTATCGAATGTACGCACTGCGAACAATGCCAGATATCCAATCGGGACGTAAAATTCAAATAGAATATCTGATTTAATCCCGCCGCCAAATCCCGACTAGACGATATAATATTAATTTCCTGTTTAATACCTATCGGTTACCGAGTCGAAACAAAAACGTGTAAACATCTGTTCGATTCCAACAAAAGTTTTAATTTCAATTGGAACTCGGCGCGGCAGAACTGATGTGGATTAAAAGTTTATTGAAATAAAGCGGAACAAATGATATATATCATAATAGGTAACAGAAATTCACTTATGAATGTGATATATTAGTAGCTTTTATATTAATGGGGACAGCAAACTGCAGGAAAGAGGAATGGCCATTAGATACAGGTACACTCTGTTCAACATAAAAAGGCACAGGGCAAAAACACGTATAAAATTCATCACAGAACTTCAATACGCTGATGACTGCGCTCTAGTTGCAAAAATGTTAGAGCAATTATAAGAAATGCTGAAACCTATACCTGCTATAGAATGCTGGACATCATGATCAACTGAATTCATGATTACTAAATCCCTCTTAAAATAGGCTGGTCACGTATGCAGGATGCAAGAAAACTACCTACCAAAATCTCTTCTTTACGGTGAGTTTGTAGACGATAAGAAGAAATCGGGTGGACAACTCAACAGATACCAGAATATTTTTCATAAAAACTTAAAGGCACGGGGGTGTCACTTGTATGGGAAAACAGGCAACAGTCAAATTTAAACGTGCCAGGACCAACGACAAAGAAAGCAACATCTGCCAGGCATTGGCTTTCTTTGTCACTCACATTGCTTAAATCATGATACCGCGGCCATTTCGTCAACAAAGAAGCTGGCCGGGCTGTCCTGGCAAGTGATTTAAAACAATTTTGCTTTTTTACAATATTAAATTACCATTTGGATGTATTTAATGCGATTATTCAGTTAACTGGTAAGTCAGAAATTACACACAAATACTTTATTCGTAAATACAACTAAGATGTAAACGTATTTTTGTATTTTTAGATTTCAACTTTTGCAAAGACCCGCCGATAGAACTTGCCTGGCAGCGTACCTGTTTAACTAAACGTATTATTTCCTGATAATAATATCAAAACACGTAAGTACCTCTATAATTTATGATGAAAAATGATTTTGATTATGTTTTATATTATTTAAATACTTTCTAACCTCAAATAATAGTAAGATCCTTGTTTATATCGCACAGCCCGTTCAAAACTGTATTGTCTTCAAAAAATGTTTACAAAACAAACAATTATTAAAAAAACAATGTCCTTTTAATCTGATTTATACCTCAGAAGGATGCCAGTAAAATTTTATTAAATCAACATTATATTATTTGGCCGTTAATATGCAAAAAGGAGCATATTGCCTTAACTTAAATTTTCTTTTACTTCTCCTGACAATGTTCTCTATATTCTCTATTTTGAGTTAGTAAACTTTTGAACGGGATATGCGATATATAAAATACATAATATATCCAAGGGTATGATCTGATAAAAGTATTTTTTGATGCATTTTTTGGTTGTTTATGCACGTTGGCTTGGTTTATGTTTTATTCAGCTTATATTTATTTGGTATAACAGTTTTTTTTTGCCTTTGGAATGGCATGCATTGAGGCTAGATAGTGTTTCATTAGATCATTAAAGGAATTTAAATTAGCATATATTTTTGTCATATTAGTGTGTTATCATGATACAGGTAGTTGTATCATAGTGCCTTATGCATGTTATTTACCTATTATATACTTATGTAATGTATTATCAGTAAATAGATGATAACATACTACTAAAATGTCTTTTAATAGTATGTTTATCTTTCCAATTCACTAGTTATTTGCAAAATGTATTTTGAACTAATTTAAGTCATTAATTGATCATCTTTCTTTTTCAGGTTCAGGATATTCTTTTTTCATTGTTAAAAAATATATATATTTCAATATTATTGTAATATAAATCGCAGCTCTAAAAAATAAATGATATTGTTTACTAATATGTAATTTATTTACTATGAATTTTCTCTGAAAATAATAAGTCTTTAATAATATCATTGATTGTGACGACTTTTTCTGTCATCACTCAAACAGAAAGAAAAAGGTATCCGTTGCTCAGGGTTAGAGGAGAGCTGGGTTCGTAGGTAAGGCTTGTGACCTGCGGTGACTTAATAATGTTGTTAAATAATAAAATAAAAGTAATAATGTATAGGCTGCAAAGATTCTAAAATTGATGTTAAGTATTCAAATAGTAATGGTCAAAGACAGTAAAAAGGGCGCCACTTACTTTGGGTATGAAAAGGTAAAGTAAGAAACCAGTAAGAAAATTTGATCATGAAATAGCTAAAATAAAATGATCAACAGCAATAAGGGTCTATTATGTTCATCAAGAATAAAAGTCAGATATAACTATCCTACGTTGAACATTTATTTAAAAACGAACACAATTATCAATCAGTTTAAACCCAGTTTCAATTATCCCAATGAAATCGTTAGTTACTTTAAGTAAACTCAAATTTAGTTAGAGTTCTCTCCAGTATACTATACTACGTAATATATAAACAGGTGAAATTTATGTAAGTACCAATACGATGATGTTTCGAAACAAGTCGTGTACAATAACCTTCAAAAATGAATCCGTGTTAGCGATTCTCACATAAAAGATCATACTGAAGTAAAACGTACCGTTAAGGACAAAGCATGACTTATAATGTTAACTAAAAGGTAAATTTTGACTATAATATACGGGATAAATGACAACAATTTACAGAGATATTCAAAATATTGTCTCAAAGTAAAAAAATTTAGGGAATACCTTGTGTGTTGAACTTAGAACTTATCTGTATTTTTTTTCTTATTTTGTGACCTAGTGAACAGGTAGGCAGGCAGTCTCCAGACTAACGGAAGTGGATGTAGACTCTTCGATAGTAGCAGGAGTCTTCGATATCAGTAGAATAAATGTAGAGTCATAAATACTGTCTCAAAAGTGGTTACTCATATGCCAATTACTTATACGTCAATTTCTTATACGCCAGTTACTTATACGTCAGTTACTCTATATAAAAAAAACTCTCAGAACAGTCACCGAATACCAAAAAAAATAACTTACGGTCTGAAAATCAGCTGTACACATTCCAAAATATAGCCAAACTATATGCTGATCCAAACCAGTAATGCACAATCAAACATTATCAAAATAAATAAAAAACGGGAATAACTGAAATAAAATTTAGTTAGACATGGCGATACAAAATGGTAGATACACTTACTGTGATCTTATTCCAGGAAAAGGCCAAAAAAAAAAACACGAACTAGGCTCTGAACAGTATATTCTACAGGATTTCAAATCTCCACCTTTGGATACCCGTGCCTTTACTGTTAGGAAAAAGTGTTTCAGAAAGCCCTTTTCTCTGAGATTCGTCGGACGCTGAACCACGCGTCTTTTCTGATCTCAATCTCTCGGAAAAAGTCCCTTCCTCCTTTTCGCAAAACGGAAGTCTTCGAATTGACAGGTCATATGACCAAAGGCAATTAAGCGAACTCTATCGTCTATACTGAATGAAATTTGTTTTATGGAAAGGAACCGCTACCTGTACTGAATGAAGTTTAACATCTAGCGAATAGATGGCGCCAGCAATATTAAAATTTGGAATTTTATAAAAAGAAAATAAAACGCTACACTGCCCCCTCCAAAAAAGAAAGGCCCTCAAAGAGGACTTTCGCCCAAACACCACATAGGAAAACTAAACTAAGTTTGTACAGGGTTTTGGATTTTCAAATGAAAATTTGGTGGATGATAACTTCGTGTATCACACGTCCATAAAGGAGTCACTATTGGTAAGTCGCAATCGGTATGTCAAATCAGTGAGATTACACAATCGGGAAAGTCAAATCACCATATAATCCAAATAAAAAACATTCATATAAGCTATATATGAAAACTAAAACTAAATCTAAACCTAAAAGTATGGGATAGGAAAAGAAAGAAAGAAAGAATCCCATGGAAGCGCAGATGTTCCTGAAGAAATCCTCAAGCTGATTGTCCGTACTCAACCCACCTAGTGTGAGGCAACGAAAGATTCACAAATCGCGTGTAATCAGTCATGCGACCCCTCACACCCAAGGAAGCGGAGAACAAAACAAACAACAAAAGAACCTCAACAAAAGCCATGCTACGGATCACTATAAGAGGTAAGTTTGGCGTGACCAAAACAAACTACCTTCGCCACAACCTGTGTGCTCACCGGTTAACCATTCAAGGTAACTCACCTGTATGAGAAAAAGAAAGGAAAATAACAATAGAAATCACAATAGATAAACATATAAAGGAAGAGAGAAAAGATTGTCACGAATGACCCAAAATATCCGTAACATAGGATTCCAGCCTATGAAACGCTATTGCAAATATGGAAAGAAAATCACAATCATACCGAATACACAGTAAACTTACAAAGTTATGAGGTCAGCTATGTCTCACCATTAGGTTGCAATCAGAATCATAACAACTTTTCGTTTTGTCACGAAGTCGTGTTCTCAAAATACAAGAATTGCTTAAATTTCAGATTCTTGTGAACTGAATGTCATAGAATGGAGCAAATGGCACAAAACCATATGAGTGATTAACAGAATTACCATCCCACAAAATATTTACTCAAAATTAGGTAATCTGTAGAATACTCGGAAAAAAAGAAAATACTGCTATATGCTCGCATTTCTAAATAGAAATACTATATCATACTGAAAATATACGCAAAAACTAAATAACACAATAGTTATGCTGATTCGCGACAAATCCGTAAAAACGATAAGCGAATTGTTGTATAACTTTTAATTTAAACTAAAAAACTAAAATATAATCTATGTATCCTTTAGACTAAACCCTAAAAAGGAATCGGACATAATAGATTATTTAAATTACTGTGACGTAGTAGAGACATTTCCTGTATCATCGTCGTCAATCATGTGAGCTTGGTATGGTTTAAGATCTTTTGTATGCCAGCGGCCTGCGTTATTACCATCCTCGTCTACTAAAACATAAACTAAATTCGAAATTTTCTTTCGTACTGAAGATAAAACAAAACGAGGGGCTAACTTGGCTGAAAAGTTAACACCAGCATTTGATAAGACCTTATTACGTCTCCAAACCAAATCACCAACCTGAAAGATAGATCACGTCTACGCAAATTATAAGACTTTGAGTTTCTTTCGTAAGCAGCATGAAGTTTCTTACGGACTTCGCTAAAGACACTATAAAGATTTTTGAGTTCTGAAGCGTAAGAGTTGCGATCGCCAGGCATAATTTCAAAATCTTCAGAGAACTTAACTTGACCATAATAATTACCAGAGATGGGAATATGCCTACCGAAAACTAAAACGAAGGAGAAAAACCTGTGACCTCATGTTTAGAAGTGTTTAAAGCAAACTGAATATTAGAGAGTGAACATCCCAATCTGTATGTTGTTTAACATAAGTTCTAATAGCTGTTCCTATTGTTTTATTCATTCGCTCAACAAAGTTACATTGAGGAGAATACACAGCATTATACCAGATCTTCTGAACTTGATATTTCTTTGCTAAATCTCTGAACTCTTTAGCAACAAACTGAGGACCATTATCACAAATTATATATTGAGGTACTCCATAAGTAAGGAAAACTTCACTCTCAAGATACTTCACAACATACGGAGATTTTGATGAACGTAACGGACACAGAAGAACATACTTCGAAAACCAATCGCCAACAACTAAAAGCCACTTATGACCCTTTTTTGATCTAGGAAAAGGACCCATAAGATCTAAAGCGATTGTCTGAAAAGGCATATTAACTTGTTTTTCTCTTCCCATCCTACCTAACGGCATAGTATTTGAAGATTTCTGAGCTCCACAAACACGACAACTCCTAACAAATTTAAGAACATCGGCTCTCATCTTGGGCCAGTAAAATTGTTCTTGAAGTCTTGATAAAGTCTTATAGAAACCCAAATGCGAACAAGTTGGCGGATTATGACATGATTCGATAATATTACGACGTTGAGGACGTGGAACAACCTTCTTCCATTCTTGAAGATTTGATGAAAATGGTAGCTGTACCGGAATAAACTTAAAAAGAAAACCATCTTCAACTTTCCACTGTGGAAATGAACTAGGCGAAGCTAAAATCTTTCGCTTCATTGTCTCATACCATGCATCAGTATGATCTAAATCTATATTCAAAATAGAAATTTGTGGACATACAAAGGAATCATTATCTGAAATATCTGAAGGAGAATCATCGCCAGGTATTCTACTAAGAAAATCAGGAACTACGTTATGTGAACCTTTACGATGAACTAAATCAAAAGTAAACTGTCTAAGTCTGACAGCCCATCTAGCAAGACGACCAGTAGGATTCTGTAATTTATTAAGCCACAAAAGAGAGTAATGATCTGTACAAACGGTAAAACGTACGCCATCAATCCAAGGACGAAATTTTTCCAAACTAAAAATAACAGCTAAGCATTCTCGCTCAGTTACACTATAATTCCGCTCGGATCTAGTAAGAGATCTGCTAGCATAAGAAATTACACGGTCTTCGTCATTAATTTTTTGTAGAAGAACTCCACCAAGACCGGTGTTAGATGCATCTGTTTCTATAATAAAGGGTTTAGAAAAATCCGGCTGGGACAAAATTGGAGCAGAAACCAGAAGTTGTTTAATTTTCAAAAAAGAATCTTCAGCGGCAGGACTCCACTGAATTCCTTGACCTTTCTTTTTACCTTTTAACAAATCATTAATGGGTGAAACTAATGTCGAAAAATTTCTTATAAAACGACGGTACCAACTACACAAACCTATAAATCGTTTAATTTCAGTCGTCGTGGTAGGGCGAGGAAAGTTTAACATTGCTGAAATTTTTTCTGGATCAGTTCTTAATGAATTAGAGCCAACAATATATCCAAGAAATTTTAAAGATTTCTTGAAAAACTCACACTTCTTTATATTTATAGTTAAGTTAGCATCTTTTAACTTGTCTCTAACTTCAGAAAGCAATTTGGTATGTTCCTCAAAACTGGGTGAACATATGATTATATCATCCAAATAGCAAAAAATGTGTGGTTCATAACGTGGTCCAAAAATAGCATCAACAAGTCTTTGTTGTGTCTGAGCGGCATTGCACAAACCAAATGGCACCGTAGTGAATTGAAATTGACCTCTACCAACTATACTGAAAGCAGTTTTTGGTTTTGAATCCTCTGATAATGGAATTTGCCAGAAACTTTTACGCAAATCTATACTCGAAATATACGTAGCTCCACGAAGAGAGTTTAAAATTCTATCTATATTTGGCATAGGGTAGGAGTCATACTTTGTAACCTGATTTAAAGATCGACCATCGAAACAAAAACGAAATTCACCAGTTGGTTTTTTAACTAAAAGCACTGGGGAACACCACGGACTATTAGAAGGTTCCACAACACCAAGTTTAAGCATATCATTTAATTCCTCATTTAAGATTTTTGACATATAAGGTGACATTAAAAAAGGTTTTTGACGAAATGGTTTGGCATCACCAGTGTCAATTGACATAGTAATTTTATCGGTACGACCAAGACCATGATCACTGTTAATACTGTCAAAAGAGTTAATAAGAAGTTCAGCTGGTTTTCTCTGATTTGGTGTTAAATCATCAAGGGTACACAACATATTTACTGCATGAGTGTTATAGGGAAATGAAGAAAACTTTGGCTGAGATCTAGAGTTGACTTCCCACCAATTCTTCTTAAGATCTTCCATAAGATCAAACCGCAAGATAAAATCACAACCAAAAATAAAACTATGAGGCAATGAAGGTACTACAATAGCACTGATAACTTGACATGAACCATCAACGACTAAAGGTAGATCGACTACACCAACTATTTTCTTTTCAGTATTGTCTGCAGTACTAATTGACAAATGAGTTGGTTCCCTAATATTCAAATTTAGATTCTCAATAACAGGAATACCAGCAGCTCCAATAACTGTAGATGTACTTCCAAAATCTAAAAGACCACAAATTTCAACGCCAAGAATTTCTACTAAAATATAAGGTCTGTTATCAGATACCTTAGGACAAAAAAGAGGAGAAACTTTATGATTGGTAGTGGTGGATCTATAAAAATTTT